ACACCACTGTCTTCAAGAGCAGGAACATCATGACCGACGGTCTCGGCCGCACCACCGGCAATGGCAGGGTTCAGGTTGCCGACATCGATGCCGCCAACGCCATGTCCGGCGGCACCCTTCCGCAGGTCTCTTCCACCGGCGGCAGCATCTCCGGAACCTTCCACGTCGTCACCACCGACGGTGCTGGCCCTATCGAAGCTGTCCTCGATCCCACCGGCACCGGCTCCTTCTCCAACGGCGTCAAACTCACCACCACCCAGGACGTTCCCGGCAACAGGGGAAACATCAGGCCCAACGGCCAGGTCCCCGGCCGGAAGAACGCCCGTGACCTGTTTGAGCGTGCCATCTACAAGCGTGCTGCCAACGTCAACAAGGACTTTGTAAGTAACACCTGCATGTCTCCACGCAATGTGGCAAAGCTCAGCGGCTAACGTCTCACTCTACACAGCCCATGGCCTTCTCCGTCCCCGACGGCACCCAGTGCACGGGTACGTCCGGCAACATGCAGAACGTTTGCTTGGTCAAGATCGCCAACAACAACGGCGCCGGCCCCTTCGGCGGCATTGTGGCCATCCAGATCCCTCCCGCTGGCGCTGCTGGCGCCGCTCCTGCCGCCAAGCGCGAGGCTGACTTCGAGGCTTAAGCGACCAGATTTCTTTGGACTGATCTCGAGATTCTGTTGGCTCAAGGCCCCTGGTGGGCAGCTAATCGGATGGCCGCCTGTCATCAGAAGACACCTTTTTCTTCTAGTAGTAGATAGTTAGTCCGGCTCTGCTAATTCACTTTCTTTTTTCTTCAAAGAAAGTTATTGGTGTTCGTGTGGTTGACCATGATTTGAGGGGGCCTCTTGGATTTTGTCAAGGCTTTGGTTTGCGATCGGCACTTATTCAACCCAAGGTTTCACTTAATTCTGAGTGCAGTCAGCCAGCTTCCGGGCTCTAGACTCATTCTAAACTTGGCACTGGGCTTTCGCATTATCCTCGACCTATATGTATCGCCGGAGTGTTCCGTCTCAGAGATGGAGACGTACGAATACAACGGTGCTCCTCGGTTTGATTGCTCACAAGGGTGAACCCGGTGTGGGAGGAACCTACCCGCCAATCACGGTGCTTCCGTTCTCTGCAGCTATCCTGTCACCTTGATGTAGTGAAATGCAATTGGACGTTATCACTTACTCCGCCACTTTCCACGCTTTTTTCTTCCGTCGTAGGGCAATTTGGGGATTGTGTGGTCGTTGGTCCTAGTGACAGTTACGTACGCTACTCAGCCTGTCCATCCCACCGGATGTTATGACGACGCATCGTTCAACACGCATCACCAAACCCTGGAGCTGGATAGAATACCTCGAAGCGGTCGACAGAGGGTTCATCGGAGGAATTGTAATAATTGGAGGCCGACTGAGAAAAATTGTGCGACTATGCGGCTGTTATGCCATGATGCCAAGCATCCGCACCCCCTTTCTGGAAACTTGCCTACTTGGACTCAAAAAGACAACGCTACAATCTACGCAACTCCATTCCAGGAGGATTCCAACATCACAAAAATCAACGTATCATTGTCGAAGGGGCTCTTGGGTCTGTCTACCAGCCCTATGGTAGCACAGACGGAAATGCCGTTATGCCAAGGTGCCATTCACATCGATGACCCCAGAGAACCCATTGGGCTTGCAAGATGCCGGGGCTTCAAACAGATCCTTACAGTGTACGCCATCAGACGCAAAAAAAAAAATCAGACGTTTACACCTGTTGGCTGTGAAAAGTTCGTCCCATAAGGCCCCCCCTTTCATATAAAAGCTTGGTGCATGAGGGGCGCGTCTATTTTGGATAGAGTAAGGAGGATCGCCAATTCCGCCTCGAAGTCACGTAAGACCGGGAAACGCGTCAGTGGGATGATGGCGATGAAGACTTTTCGTGGTCGCCGACGTCCAAATTTTCGGCTCCGGTAGGGAATGGGCCCGGCCCCCGGTGGGTTGAGTCCCGCGGAGCGGGTCCGAACCCCACCTCCCGACGGCTTGGCCTCCCACCTTCCGGATGGCTTATACCGGCCCCTTACCATTCTGCCCGTAGAATTTCATGCTAAGCTATTACCACACTCTATTCTGGGTCACACGGAGAGCCTCTACAGGTCGAGAATACAGCTGGTCGGCCAATGGGACGTTGATCAATTACGAATCGTCACCCCAGTTAACCGTCCGCAGTAATACCCACAACACTCGGGACAACACCGACGGTACAGGGGACGGTCGTGATTAGGCGTCATGCGATAGGAGGCGTAAGGCAGAGAGGCTGGACTGTAGAGGCTAGCAACGAGGCTCATAGACCATGACGACTTCAAGATGAAGGGATTTTGTATAAGTAAAGGAGGGTTCTCCGCGACAAAGTAATCATTCAACTCATCATCCTCATCACACTCACATTCACAACTCGCTCACTCACTCACTACCTCTACCAATCACTTCTTAACCACTCTTACTTTTACCACTTCCTCCAGTAACCGTCTCAACAACTTCATCTGAGGTTTTTCTTTTCCAGCCAACCGCAACAATGAAGTTCACTGCCTTCGCTCTTACTGCCCTCTCCCTGGCGGCCACCGAGGTCTTCGCTCACCCCGAGAAGTTGACCAAGGAGAACATCAGACGCGAGGCCGCCCTGGCTGGTCGCTCTACCAACAAGTGTGCCGCCGCCATTGAGAAGCGCAAGGCCGAGATCATCGCCAAGCGCTCTCAGCGTCTCTACGAGCGCCGCGTCGCCAACGGCGACATCGTCCCCAGCAGCCATGGCATGTCCAAGCGCAACACTCTCCAGTACACCTCCATCCAGAACAACACCTGCCTCTTGGCCCCTGAGACCATCTTCGGCCCCTACGGCGTTGACGGCGAGATGAACCGCCACGACCTCCGCGAGTCCCAGCCTGGCATCGACTTCTACTTCGACATTGGCGTCATGGACATCAACACCTGTGAGCCTTTGGAGGGTGCCTCCGCTTCCATCTGGCACTGCAACGCCACTGGATCCTATGCCTCCTTCACCGGCATTGACCCGGACACCTCGGAGCTCCTCGATGGCTGGGAGAAGCGCTCCGACGGCACCACCGACGACGAGACTTTCCTCCGCGGCGTCCAGGTCTCCGACTCCAACGGCATGATCGAGTTCCTGACCAAGTTCCCCGGCTACTACGTCTCCCGTTCCACCCACATCCACGTCGCCGTCCAGGCCAACGCATCCAGCGGTATTTCCTACAGCCAGAGCGCCATTCAGCACGTCGGCCAGCTCTTCTTCGAGGAGGACCTGCTTTCCCAAGTCTACGCTGTCAGCCCCTACTCTTCTCACCTCGAGACCCTGAACCGCACCACCAACGACGAGGACTCTGTCCTGTCCAGCGCCAGCGAGGACGGCTACAATCCCTTCATCAGCGTCTCTCTTCTCGGTGACAGCATTGAGGATGGCCTGGTCGGCTACATCACCATCGGTGTCAACGCCACTGGCGAGGAGATTGCCACCACCGGTACCGATGTCAACCCCCAGGGTTGGATCCCCACCGTCTCCGTCGGCACTGCTAAGCTTGCCGAGGCTACTGCTGCTGACGCCGCTGCGGGCTACACTTCTTAAGTCTTATAAGGGGACTTGAAGATTGCATATCATGGCGTTTTTTGATTTCTTCTCCTTGTGTTCGGGCTGGTTCATAGCATTAAGCAGCGATGGGGTGACGGGTCTCAGGGGACGTAGCATAGCAAGGCGTTTGCACATAGATGGTTGGCACACTAAATAGATACGAATTGCTTCCTCCATTTTCACACGTTTCCTGGCTCGTTTCTTTATCGATTTGTCCGGCTTGCCGTTTGAGCATCCACTTATTTAACATGGAGTTGCAAAGACGCAACCAACAGCAACTTGAGTGAATACGACGCCTGCATGGGGCTCTTGGCATTGCGGATCTGTGCGGCCATTCCAGTCACCTGAACACAAGGGAACAGACCCAGTGTCATCGAATTGCCGGAGTTAAAAGAAAGGTGCCGGTTTGGGGTCCTGCAAGCTGACACTTGGATTAGATCCGGGCAAGGATGAGTTCCAGCTAGTGAGTTCTGGACCAACCACATCCGCAGTAGCCCGATTCAGACTATGAGTCTTTGCAACTTGTGTTGTCATACTTGATTCATCGGGGTTCTCAATCACCCCGGTGCGGAGACCGGCCGGCGGTCGAAAATCTCGGGAGCTAGTCACGGGCCTTCGGGTTCGGATTCCGCGCGTTCCCAACGCCGATGAATGAAGTGCGGAGAGGCCCAAGGCTCCGCTCGGCTCCACGGAATTGTTGAGATGAAAGATCTATCCAGACTTGCATGTCGATTCAAAGCCGCTACCAGCAACCACAGAAAGTTATATAAACAAAAATGGTTTACCTACGACTAGAAGCCACTGGAAAGCAGAGTTGGTAATTCACAACAATTGCCGTCCTGTAGCCACCACTTCCGTGTTTTCTATCCATCTAAGCTTCGTTCCAAAATGACCATATTGCTGTCGCTGGAGGCACGGGTGGAGTTGGCAGAGCCATCGTGGAGCAGTTGCAACTCAGCGAAAAGCGCCAGTTCTTCGTGCTGGGGCGCAAGGTAACTACACCCATTGTGATGATTGATACTACTCATAGGGGCTATTACACCAGCCTTTTCATCTGCCACATTCACTGGATACAAGCTGATATGATGTCTTTCAAGTCTCCATCCCCCGCCCTCCCGGGTGCTCCTTCCTTTCTCGAGGTAGACTATGAAAATGTCGACGCTCTCGTCAAAGTCCTTGAAGAACACAACATCGACACCGTTATTTCCGCCCTGAACCCGGAGTCTGAGAAATCTAGCAACGCTCAGATCAACCTCATCGCGGCTGCTGATTAGTCGAAGACGACTCAACGCTTTGTTCCCAGCGAGTATTTCACGCCTGTTGATAAGAAGTAAGGCCACTTAGAAAGTCTTGTCGAGATACCTGGAACTAATTGAAGTAGTAATCTCAATGAGTCTTTTTGGCGAGCAATACCGTCTTGCAAATACGATCGCCATCGAGAAGTCAGGTCTGGAGTACATTCGCATCTATGCAGGATTGTTCATGGACTACTGGGCCATGCCCAACGTCCATTCCTACATGATGCCATTCAGCCCTGGCATCGACATGTCTCTCAAAAAGGCAGTTGTTCCGGGAACAGGAAACGATGTCATGAGCATGACATACACCATCGACCTCGCCCGCTTTATTGTTCGCCTTTTTGATGAACCTAATTGGCCAAAGACTGCCTCAATCAGCGGCACAGACGCTACTTTCAACGAGATAATAGCCCTTCTCGAAAAGTATCATAGTGAGTAATGGGCCTGTAAAATAGCGCGAGCTTTGAGATCGCCAGACTGACGCAAGCCCAGACGCCAAGTTCGAGGTGATCTATGACGATGTAGAGAAGCTCAAGAGCGGGGATGCAACTTTGGTGTCGATAACCGATGATTCAAGCGGTATCCCCGTGGCGCTTTTGAAGCAGATGACAGATGCATTCAGTCTCATGGTTTTCAGCGGTGTTTGTGCCTTGCCTAAGGAGGGCCGCTTGAACGACATGTTTCCTGAGCTGCGCCTGACGACAGTTGAAGAGCTTCTTGCGAAGGCTTGGGCTAAGAACTAAGGCTATAACTAACCCCCGAACGCTTCCAGTAGTCCTTTAAGGAGTAGTACAGATTAAGTATTGAACTCTATCTCATAGAAACATGTTTGTATGGCAATCTCCATGTTTGGTCCCGCACTGCTTTCACACCTTCGCCGTCCATGCGGATCCAACAGCAGCTATCCTAGCAGCAGCCAGGAAGAGACATGCCAAAAAAGTGACCACTCCAGCCCAAATCTGCGCCCAAACGTACTTTCCGGTTCCGTCAACGATCGCTCCAGCGATGGGTGGGCCTGCAAAGGATGCCACACCGACGATTGTCGCCACCATACCGAAGCGGACTCCCATTTTCTGGGGGTCCTCCGTCAAGCTCGCCAGCGCTGAGGTGAAGATTCCTTGTGCGAAGCCATTCGCGATTCCGAATATGACAGACAAAGCATACAAACTAGGTCTGTTACGAACTCCGATCCACGCGAAGTACATCACACCCACGAGACCGTTGCTGAAAATGAATGTGTTGATCGCGCCCACGTATCCTGCTAGGATGCCAGCCAGAGCACGACTGGGAATTCCAGAAGCATTGAGAATGAGAAGAAGTGCCACCGAGTCCGTATATGACAGTCCGATAGCGACCTGAGCAAAGGTGTTGATCTGGTGGCTGTTAATTGACCTGATCCTAATCTCCAAGAGATCGACATTTGTAGACATGGTTTACTTACGTAGAAGAAGCTGAAGTAAAGTGCAAGGAAGAAGAAGAAAGAGCCCGCAGCAAAGAAGGAGTAGGTTCTTTCCTTGAATGCCTCCAATTCCAGGATTGGTCCTGACTTTCTCGGCGGAAGGCGAGGCTTGAGAAGTGTGCATGCGATGACGGCGAGGACCAGCATCATGAGCGCTTGGCATCGGACCGCCCATGGGAATCCGACGTGAGGGATCGTGTAGTTAAGAAGCGTCGGAAACGTGACCGATCCAAGTCCAGTGCCCACATTCGCAATCGACAGCGCTAATGTTCTTCGTTGCTTGAAGTACGACCCCACAATGGCAATTCCTGGCATGAACATGATACCCATGCCGATACCGGTGTACAACCCTTGTGCTAGGAAGATCTGCCAGTACTTGGTGCAGAAGCTGGTCAAAAGCGTACCCGTCACGGCCATGAAAGAGCCCCCGATGACAGCATGTCTTCCGTAGCCAGCATCGACCAATCGACCCGAAAAAGCACAGATCCCGAAAGCCAGGAATATTTGGACCGAGCCTACCCAAGAGACTTGGGCTGACGGCAGGCCCAGCGTTGTTGTGTAGTAGGCTTGATAGGCGCCGTATGAAGAGGGGTAACCCCACGAAATTTGGTTTGTTATGTTGCAAGCGACGACTTGCAACCAAGCTCGTGCGCCTCCATCAGGAAATGTCAATATTTCTGGGGGAGATTGCAATGATTCATCGTCTCGTAGGTCGTTCAGCGCGGTCTTCTTCTCGGGATCGGCAGTCTCGTGCCGAGGATATCCCACCGGCTGCTCAGAGGAGCTTGACCGTTGGATCTCTGGGCTCAATGGCATTGTCGGCGTTGTTTGGTGAGTCATAACACGGTTATAAACGTCAATTGAAAGTAGGAGTAATCAACCTTTGCTGTATGACAACACAGAAAAGGATTCCGTGCAGTGTCCGATGTCAAACGATGGGCGCGCCTTATCTCTCATATCGTCGATGACTGGGCAATCAAGCGAAAGTGACTCATGTAAACCATGCACCGATCCCCTTGAAATCGCAGAACAAAAGGGGAATGTAACCCCATCCTTGACTCGGAAACAAGCCGCACGCAGGACAGAAACCAAACCAACGATTGCAGGAGTTGCTTATCCGAGAGTCTATCTTCCAGAGCTTGGCTTGTTCAACAAATGAATGGGAGAGGTGCCGGTCTTCCGCCCCCTGTCTCAATTGACCCCAAAACTCGCGGTGAGCATCATCGAGTTCAATTACTATCGCACGAGCTCACGCACGCAGCCTTCAATTCAATTGTCAACCCATATATCATGCAGCACAGATCGCCGACGGCTAGATGCAGTCCCTTGCTTTAGGATTTACAGACAAATTGGACGTCTGTTATTACATTGTCGTCTTCTGCTTCTTGGGACTCCGACCAGATCTTGTTTTAATCTGGAAAACAGAACCCGCCATAAGCTCACCGGCGCCGCTCCGATGCCGATTCTGCCATGGTCCCACTTTGTCGGACACGGGCACGGGGCCGGTGACGTCTCGGTGGAGTGCTCCACTGCACGGAATGTGCAAAATGCCGTCCAAGGCCTGGGAGATGTCAGCGGGCTAGGCCTGCTGACATAGTAATCTCTCTTGGAGGCCGGGGGGTTCCCAGACTCAATATTCCAAGATCACTCCGCCAAGGGTTCGAAGGGCCTAGATGCAGCATGCTCCAGTCTTAGCAAACAGTCGATCGCGATGCAACAGCAGGCAGATGGTTGGGAAGGCTCTCAGAGGCGCAGCAGCAATGTCTGCCTTGCTCTGCAACTATCAACGGCCTGCAGATGTCTCTAAAGTGAGGCCTGTCGGGCGCTGCCCCGTACCCAATCAATCACGATTTACCCCTGCTGCTATTGGGCCGGGCTACTGCGCCCCAACAGTCCATTTCTGTCTCAGGAACCCCATTCACGCTTACTTCTGCGAACCATTCCCATCTCACTCCGAACCAGCACGCCATTCTCTTTGTGCGATCATCGCCTGGGGCCATGTGCAAGCCGTTCCGACGGCTTGGGTATCCCCGCGCGAACGATGAGTTCCCAGGAGTACACTGACTTATGCCGCGACATTCGTCGCCGCCTCTTGGACAATCTGGAGAGGAAGAACTCGGACAAGTTTCGATTCGCCACTCGGGATACAGCAGCCAATGTGCTGGAATCTCACTACCTTCGACTGTTTTTCCAAAGCATCAACGACGACCAGTTCTCAATCTCAGAAGATAAGTTCATTCAGAATATTCAAAAAAGACGCCTACATAGTTTTATAGCTATCATTGCTTTTGCCGGTTGCAGTATTGATGCTGCCAGAGTTTTCACGGCCAAGCTTGCTGCTGCAGACATTTGGTCTGTCAAGCAATCGCAGCCGCATATCAAAGATGCTACTTCTCTCCCAGCGGATCGCGACAGTCTACGAGAATTCTTCTTGGGGTGCGATTCAAACGATGCAGATGTCTTCTTTGGTTCACAAGCAATATTTTGCACCGTTGTGCTCAGTCAAAGAGAAGAAGTCATCGTTCACGACTCCGAGACCCAGCGACTTCCCTACTTGGAGGAAAAGCTGCTAGGTTCAGGATCATTCGGGAAGGTCTACATGGTCAAGATCGCCCGAGGTCATATTGAGGATCACCATACCGATGAGATTTCAAATAAGCCACGAAGTGTGGCGCGTAAGGACTACATCGTTCAGTCGCCCAGCGACATGAGTTCTCAAGATGAGGGCAACGTTATGAAGATGATTCTCAGCGCCTCAAAGACCTGTGAGAATATTCTGGAGAATCTTGGCTCTCTACGAGTCGAATCGCCCCTAGGAGCCGATCATCCCCCGACCTACAGTCTGTTCATGCCGCTGGCAATATGCGACCTTGGCGCCTACATGAAAAAAGACATATCAACTTCCATCAAGACACCAAAGGTCAGGGCAAGTCTGATTCGCTCCGCCATGGGGCTTGCTACGGGCCTCAACTTTCTCCACCATGAATTACAGACCTCGGATCTCGAAGATGTTGTGTGCTATCACATGGACTTAAAACCTAGTAATATTCTCGTGTTTCCAGCCGCAGATCGAGAGCATCGACAAATCTGGAAGCTGAGCGATTTTGGCATGTCACGAGTCAAAGTCCGGCGGAGAAATCATGCTGAACCCGAAGAGCGAGACTTTAGCGTATGGTTCAGACCAAGGCCGCAACTGCATGAGGATGCTCCATCAGGAACGCGAAACAGGCGAGGACAAGGGACATACTTACCTCGAGAATCCTTCCTCACTGGAAAAGTTATGAACACCAAGAGCGATGTCTGGTCCCTTGGCTGCGTACTGAGCGTTCTTTTTGCTTATCTTGAGGGCGGTGCAGACAGCGTCAATCAGTACACAATTGAACGGTTGAAAGATCGCAAAGGTTCGGACGATGGTTTCGATGGTTTCTTCTGGGAAAAGTCGTTTGGGAAATTTGCTCTCCACCATGCAGTCCTAGACTGGCACCACCAGCTCGCCAACAACGCCGGCACCCGAAGCTCTAGAGAGAAAAAGTTGGTTAATACACTCCTCAGCTTCCTTGAGCACAAAGCTCTCAATCTAGACCCGGATAAGAGGTGTACGGCAAAAGACGTCGAGAACGCTCTGAAAGAAGCGATGGATGCATATCGTCATCTTGAAAGCTCTCCAGTTGCTGAAGAGCCCAAGAAACCCAGGAAACTTTCAATAATCCAGAGGTAAAACATTCAAACCTTTCTGCAATAATCAGTGTTGATCAGCTGATGCGTCCTCAGAATCCGGAGCAAATCACCAGAGGCGAAACCTACAGGCGATCGTTCAACTCAGCAGTGGCGCCTAGCTCAGGATGCCGACGACACATTGAAAAGCTGCAAGATCTCACCGAATGGGACTATGCTCGTTTATTGGAGTGATTACAGACTCAGACTTTTTACTTCTCTTTCTGCTCCACCTGAGAGCGAGGAAACTTTGAAGCCAGCGGGGAAATTTTCCCTTGAAGGGTCCGCTTTCTTTTGGAAAGCGGTAGCGTTGACTGAGAGGTACCTGATTGCCACGACTACCGGCGGCACATTTAATGTAAGTCACTATATGGACTATGTATTTCTTTCAAGCAGAGAAATGATCCTAATACCCTATTACAAGTGTTACATATTTGATCTCGAAGCAGGAGAGTCTGTCAATGCAGATTTGAACACATGTTATCATGTGTCGCTGCCGTATCCCGAAGTCAACAACTTGGCTATTTCGGCAGATCATCAAGTTATCATTTGTACATTTCAGAACATGGAGAATGATAGGCTTCCGGGTTCTCTGTTTCAAGCACGGATCTTAGATCTGGTAGATTCTGGGTGAGCGGTTCCTTCTACTGAACGCCATCCATGACTGACTCTTGTTAAGACAGAAAGTAGAACCCGAAAGTTCGGGTTTGGATTCAAACAGGACCAACACGCCTCTGAACTTTCAACCGCCATTAAAACTAAGCTGGCCGGCTGAAGATATCATCAGCATGTCACTCCGCAATCAAACCGATGGATACATGGTGGTACGGCCCGAGCTAACAAAGCACGACATACACAAAGTGTCCATCGTCCACTTCTCTTTCAAGACTAAGAGTATTGATAGAGTCGATCTAATACCGCAAGTGAGTACTCAATCAACGCGGCAAATTTGCTCTATTACTTAATACTGGAGGTTGCTGATCACACAATCATAGGGGCTCGACAGCAACACAGCTCCTCTATTCACGGCCCTCTCCGAACTTCGCAGCGAAATATCTTGTGTAGTCGTCTCCCGAGAAAGACATCTGTACAAGCTTGATTTCCCCAATGGTCTGGGCAGAAACAGGCCAAGCCAGCTGCACAAGATCATTGACAAATATCGCATTCTGAAGATCATGGTGAACAAGAAGGACGACAAGCTCCTCGCTTTTGGAACTAAGAGAGCGAGCCACAGAATTATCCTACTGGAGATCAGTATGCCGAACACCAAAGATCCGGTTGGCGTAAAGGAACTGGTGCAACTACCCGGGCTTTCTGACTACGATGAGTTCACGGTCAGGCTAGTCGACGTGGAGGCCAATCGTCACGTTTTGGTGGCTTCGCTTGTTGAGGGGAACCGTTATGCGATACACAAGATCATCCTTTCCGGCCTACAGCCCTCATCAACATTTCGCTCTTCCTAGAAAAGGTGACTATCAAACAGCGAGGGCGTTCTTTTCGGCAAAGGTGCTTCTCTTCCGAACCCATATCTTCAGCTGGTTCCATTCTCCCGCTTTTGGCAAGACCATCTTCCGCTTGCCAAAGGGACCTCCCTCCAGGAGCATGTGGTAAATGATGAATGTAGCAGCAGTAAGTATAACCGAAGCAACGACGTATATCCAGATCATCGATGTGCTAACAATCCTGTTGTTCTCGTCGTCCAGGTCGAAGAAGTTCATACCAAAGAAGGTCTATAGACGTTAGGAAATGGTTCCACTGGTAATAGGAGTTAGGAGTAAGGCTTACAGCGATGAACGATGGCGGTAGATACAGCAAGGTCAGAGTAGTAATAAAGACCACCGACTTATTGAGGTTTAGCATGTTCTCGTTCTGCTTTCTTGTGTCCAACTGTTCTCGGAAAGACAACGTGTTGGCGAGGAGTTGGGCTGTCGTCTGGGCTCGTTGATGTAGGTAGGAAGCCGTTCGAGAGAAAGCACCACATTGGCGCCGGAAGTTCTCAAAGTCTACAGACGATAGGCTCGCCGCACCTTGGGTCTTGTCGTTTCGCCCGAACTTGCACAGCTCAGACAGCTCTTTGAGAACATCTTCTGACGAGGCAAGGATAGCGGGTATCTGAAGGAAGCGGTTCTCTAGGCTGGCCAGTGTCGTAAGGTGACTAGACTTTTGAGTTGACGGCTCCTCTATGAAAGTTGCGAATGCTGTAAGCGCCTAATTTCAGTCAGCATATTTCTTCGACAAGGACACTTTTTTTTTTTTTTTTTTGTGAGGTTCTGACCATGGGTAAGAACTGCCGCTCGTAGTAAGCGATGTAAGACCTCCACGACGGCAAGTAGGTTTCATGGAGAACCCTGTGTAGCCACACGGGATCAAATTTGGTATCTCTGGAATTTTCGAACAGCCAGTCTTGAGCCTTTTGGTCTGCGTTCGCACCGGGCATTGGGTTGAGCAATATGCAGAGGCTTTGGCTTGTCTTGAAGTTGGTACGATGGTAGACGCCGGTCTGTCTAATGACCCACTTGTTGCCCTCCGACTTAAATTCTGGGTATCGAATGGTGTATGCAGCCTCTGGTGGAAAGCTGTGTGTTAATAATGTGGCTTCTTCGTGTCTCTGAATTCGACTTACCGACGATCGGCCCAGTTCTTCGCTCCGTGAAAGGCATGCAAAAGACCTCTTCGACGTCCATGTTGCGGACGTAAAAGCATGATGCCAACTCCCAGAGCAAGTCGCCTAACTCGAACCTGTCTATGAGTAGCTCCATCATCGACCTTGTGATCTGCAACGGTCTCCATGAGTTGCGTTGGCATACCGATCTAGGAACAATGTGAGTGAGTTGACAAGGTGGTGAAGCTCGATCGCGTACATGAAGCGATAGGTGAAGTCTCTGTTTCGGCCATTTTCCATGTATGAGCTCAGGCTCTGCGGGTCCAAAAACTCATGGATATTCAGGTCGCTCTTATCATTCTCATCTGAGGAAGATGGGACTTCAATCAGTTTGACCGGCTCGATGACTTCGTCGACAAAACATTGTTGTAGCGATGTCATTATTGATGCAATGCTAGGCAGTAACTGAGAATTCTACGACGGAAAACTAACAGAAAATACAGTCCTGTGATCCTCTGCACACGTAGGTGCCCATATGTACTTCCCGACCTCAGCAGGCTGTCTATGTACCCCGAAAGTAATGCGCCCAACCTATGTTCCAGCGCTTACATGCCCTGCCACCGCTAGATCGGCACGGCCGACCGGAGGCCCTCTCGATTCAATCACCTCAGTGATCGCGGATGGCACTGGTTGCAAAAATTTTCATTAGCAATCGTCGAACCACGCGAGTCCACCTCGGGCTATTTCTTTACTCAATCTCAGCCTACAGGTGACACTAGTCAGTGAAATTCCATTTCATCTTATACTTTTGAGCCATGGGCGTGTTTGACATACGCTATCGACCTCTTTTGGTGCCTTGAAGTGCCATACGTCATCCCTCATCTGCAGGCTATGGTTCAGCTGACAGGGGTCCAGAAGGGGGTAAGGGAGGGGCTTGGCGGCAAGGCATACTTCAATATTGAACTCAGTCTGCCCCGGGAAGAGCCTCTCAAGGAGTCTCTGCAGGCTGGCCTTCTTGAGATACCGATTAGCAACGTTTTGCTCAACCTGGCCCATGTTGAAATGCGCCTCGGCTATTGGGTGTTTGGGAAGTGTGGTGCACAGAGATAATCACGATTCTAGAGAATCAGCCGATACAAATAAGTCGCCAGTCGCTGTTGGTAGCAATGCAGTGGCAGGAGAAGAGCACACTTTTGTTCAGTAGCAAGCCGCTGACAAACGACACGTCACCGAAGGCCCAGGCTGCTACTCTGACTGTATCTAGGATTGCTTCCGCGGTTCGCGAACCAGTCCTGTGACAGCAGATTGAGTGTGTGACACCAGACCTTGGCGAATAACAGGTGGTTCGACTCCGAGCTGAACACACCTCCTGGCACCTGCAGGCAAGCATTTTCCGCCTCTTCGGCCGCAATAAGATGTTTGCCCAGAACACTTCAGACCCATCAGACTCCTGGTCGAGAAGATATCCAGGCTGTTTTGCCTTCCAATTTCGGGTTATTGTTCTCCATTTTATGGTGCATCAGTGCTGAGAGAGTGCTCGGGAATGCGGCGGGAGCCAAACATGTGCCGTCATATCATGTAGCACGCCGGAGGTAACCCGATAAGGAAGGTGAGAAGGCAGGTGACGATGGATAAGACACACAGTTGGCAGCCTCATTCTGGAATGTTCCCTTGTAGAATACGAGTTTAGGGCTCATTGAAGATGTATGAGGTCAGTTCTTAGCAGGCCGAGGTCGAGACCGCCCAAGATAAGGCGGTCGCAGCCCCAGCCTCAACCCTTCCAAGATGATCTCTGGGCGGAAGCCTAACTGTGGCTGATGTTCCAGCCCTCTGTAATGTCCTAGAAGTAGAAAGAAAAAACACCTAAGACATGTTTGGCTGATGGATGCTTGCCCTGCGCCCGGCGGGAAGGCAGCGACAGGCTGCGAATTCACGGTTACCTCCTAGAACGCCAAAGGTTGTCAAAACATCTGAGAATTTCGGCCACGCTGGATTTTGATTCGCATGTCTTCTTTTTTCATCCCATTTGTGTTGCAATAAACCAGGCGTTTTGCGATTACATGTAAAGTTATAGTTCTCATTTGCTGTGATGCCGATGACGACGGACCCGAACGGGGCCACCCCCACTTCGGACTGGATACCGGACTGGATACCTCGCGGTTCCACGGAAATGGGGCCGGTTGTATCACCTCTGTCCCCGAGCGCAATTCCCGATAGTTCCTCCAACGTTCTTATCCATCAAAAAGCTAGTGACTATGGGCCGTCCGAAACTTCCGATGGGAACCAGGGCTTTACCGAGCGACCCCCGATTGAGGTTCTGGTGAAGCCGGAGCCGGACCGCACTGTCAAGAGAAAGTTGAAAGGGATACACCTGTTCGTAAGTGACAATGTTGTTCATCTCGTATCTAGTTGTAGTTTGCTAACATTTATCGAGATGATCACCATTAATGGAACATTGGGAACAGGCCTCTACTGGAGAAGTGGTCAGATTCTCGAAATTGGCGGCCCTCTCGCTGTCCTGTTCTCTTTCGTCCTCGTTGGTCTCCTAGCTTGGGCTGTCATGCAGTGCGTCACGGAGCTTTTATGCATCTGGCCTGTACCAGGTGCGCTGTCTGTCTACGTTGGCACCTTTGTGGATCACGAGCTTGGGATCGCTGTTGGTGTTGCATATTGGTAAGCGACTCCATCCAACCTAAGATCGCCTCAAGATTGACTTTGATGATACTAACCCGCATGAGGTTTACGTACGCTGTCAGCTTCTCTGCGCTCATTGCAACCAGCTCTGCGTTGATGAACTTTTGGATAGACCAGTCCAACCAAGGTCTATCAGTAGGAATTGTCTATGTTCTGATTCCCATCATGATGGTGTTTGTAAACGCATTCGGCATTAAAGTAAGTAGTGACTGATCGTTTTGTCATGCTCGTCTCACATCATTTTAGATATATGGGCTTGTTGAAGTGGTCACAGGAGGCATCAAGATCGCCTTTCTGATCGTCATCGTGGTGGCTCTCATTGCTATCACTGGAGAAGGTACATCTCATTTCCGGCATTGATCGACTCAACAGCACTAACTCATGACCTCCCCAACAGGTTCTGCGTCAGGCGGAGAGGCCGTACCTAGTCAGTTTGTCTATCATACGCTATGGTCATACGTCTAATCAAAACTCCAGTTTTCAAGGATCCCTTCCAGTATGATGCCGACGCAGCACCACATTGGGGCGTTGCTCTTCTGTAGGCTTGCCATCGAAGTTTTCTCTGAACTTCCCGCTAACTAGACTTACCAGCATGTCTCTATCAATCGCAGCGTTTGCCTATGTTGGCGTCGAGATAGTCGCAGCGTCAGCCCTGGAAGCGAAGTGGCCAGAACCTCGTCATCGCCCGTCCCAAGAAGATTTAGCTGCTGAATCCCGGCCATCAAATGCCGAAACTCTCATCGGACGCACTGTCAAGTTCTCCGCGATCTTTATTTCAGTGCTTGTGGGCGTAGCATATACACTCAGTGGCATGCTCGTCTCCTTGAACATTAGGCCCGATGACTGCGCCCTTCCGCATCTTAGCTGGGTCAAGAACACCACTTCCTGTAGATGGTACTCTGATGAGGACAGATCCCACCACAAAAACGCGACATCTTCCGCCTTTGTGGTCATCGCGGGCCGGTCCAACGCCCAGATTCTGGACCATGTCTTCAACTTCTTCTTGGTTTTCACAGCCCTGACGTGCGCTAACACGAACCTTTACGTG